TTTTTTTTTTTTAATTATTTTTAATTATTTTTGGTGCCTCCGCCTAAAAGCCGGCGCGGCGGCGGATGCGAGAGGCGGCGGCGGGAGACGGCGGCGCTGCGAGAGCGAGCGGCTGAAGGCGGCGGAGAGCGGAGGAAGGACAGGATTTCACCCCGCATCGTTGCCATCATTCCTGCTTTTCTTCTCTTTCTTTTTTTTTTTCCCCGATTGTTTTGTAATTTTTTTTTTTTTCCCGTTGGCAAAGTTGGAGCTCCTCGGCGCCTCTGCTTGTTGGCTTTTGGGTTTCCGAAAACAAACAAAACAACAACAACAACAAAGAACAATTTATTTTTTTTTCAAACTCTGGATTTTCAACGCCGGCTGCGACTAGGAGGAGAGAAAGCAAAGAGACACCTGTGTGTATATAGAAATATATATATAAATATATATATTTAAAAAAATTGAAATAAAGAGCAACTGCCTGCAGCAGCAAGAGCGGCGACAGCGAGAGCGCTGAGCGGGCGCCGAGCCGGAGCGGGACCGTCGGCGGGCGCGGAGCATGGAGGAGGGCGGCCGGAGCCCCCGCGGGGAGGCGGCCGAGCCGCCGGAGTGCGGCGGGGACGCGGAGCCGGGCGGCGGGCGGCGGGCGCTGCTGCTGCCCGCGGGGCTGCCCGCGGCGCGGGCCGAGCCGCCGCCCCCGCACCCGCACCCGCACCGCGTCACCAACTTCTTCATCGACAACATCCTGCGGCCCGAGTTCGGGAGGAGGAAGGAGGCGGGAGGCGCCGAGCCCCGGCGGCCCGAGAGCCGCCGCAGCCCCGGAGCGGCGCCCGGAGCCCCGCTGGCCGCGGCCGCGCCGGGCTCGCCGGGCCGGGGCGAGGGCGGCCCCGCGGCGCTCGGCGCCGCCAAGAAGGGAGGCGACGGCGCCGCGCTCGACGTGGCCCTCAAGGCGCGGGGCCTCGGCGGCGGCGCCGCGGGCGGCGGGGACCTGTCGCTGAGCTCGGACTCGGACAGCTCGCAAGCGAGCTCCAACGCGGGCGCGCAGCCCATGCTCTGGCCCGCCTGGGTTTACTGCACGCGCTACTCGGACCGGCCCTCCTCAGGTAAGAGCCTCTCCCCCGCGGAGCCTCCCCGGGCGGCCTCCCCAACCGCCGTCCAAGCGCCTCGGGACTCCCGCAGCCTCTGCGTCCGCGGAGCCTCCGCGGCCCCGCGCGGGGACGGGCCCTAAGGGAAGAGGGGACGTTTCGCTGCCCCGCACAGGCCTCTGATCCGGTTCTCCCTCCCCCCCCAACGGCGGCACTCGCTGCCCGCGCAGAGGCCTCGAGCGGCCGCGCTCCCGGCTCTTTCTTTAAATTCACCCGCCGGGCAGAGCTGTAGGGCTCGGGAGGAGGATTCCCACGTTGCGGGGAAGTTCTTGGGCAGGCCGAAATGTGGAGACCCCGTGGGTTTGGGAAGTCCCCCCGAAATTAGCGGTAAACACGCCGGGAAAGGCCGCGGCGTGAGATCTCGCGCAGGCAGAGCAGGGCCGTCCGCAGCGGACTGGCAGCCCCAAAAAAGTAGAAACCCTCCCGAAAACACGAGGAAAAGAGAAACCAAACAGAAAAAAAAAAAGCTAGGAAACAAACAAACAAAAACAGCCAAACCAACCAAACACACGCACATAGAAAACCAATCCAGCGCGCAGCAAATGCCCTCCCCGAAAATTGTGTTTTGCCTTTACAAAAGCGGCCGGCCAGGCTTCGATCCCGCAGAGCTGCGGAGCCCAAGGAACTATTCCAGGGCGAGTTTAGGATGAGTTGATAAGCCAGGGAAGGCAGCTCTTGGGCTGGGAGGAATATTCCGCTCGAAATTGCCATTTACTCCATTGTTCTCCGGTCCTCTCCTTTGTTAATATTTAATTAACATACACGCTCACAATGGCTCAGGCCCGGCAGAAGAGTCTCCTTGTGCAGCCTGCAATGATATCGGGGTGCAAAAATTAAAAAGAAAGAGAGAAATAATTATATTTCTCCGAGCCCCTCCGCGCAGCGGCGTAGGGCTCCTGTTCGCAGCGTAAACACACGGTCCGTTATTATTATAATTGTTAGCTTTATTGTTGTTAATTTGCCGTGAGTGAGAAGAAAAGAGTAAGGAAGAAGGTTTCCTCCAAATGAGTAAATTAATTAATAAAGGGAAAGCTTTCAAAAGAAAATAAAATAAAGAGAGAGAGAGAAAGAAGAGAAATAAAGAAAGAATAAGCAGGCGAAATGGGCCCCTTGCCGCGGGATGTGCTGCCTCACTTTGCTGCAGAGAGGGATAAAAAGAATTGAAAGCCCCGCTTTATTTTTATTTATTTATTTATTTACGGTCCTTTTTCATTTTTCGGTGCGTTTGTTTCGCGGGAAGGGCCGCGCGGGGAGGCACAAAGCGGCACAAAGCGCCGGGGCTGGGCCCGGGTGGCAGCGGGGAGGGGTGCGCGGGGAGGGGGGGGGAAGGTCCGCGGCGTCCCCGCGTGGCGCCGCCGCGCGTGGGCCCGTCCCGGCGGGGGGCCCCGCGCGTGGGGCGGCGCGCGGTGTCGCTGCTCTCCTCTCGCCCGGCGCGTAGGTCCCCGCTCGCGCAAACCAAAGAAGAAGGCGGCCAGCAAGGAGGACAAGCGGCCGCGAACCGCCTTCACCGCCGAGCAGCTGCAGAGACTCAAGGCCGAGTTCCAGACCAACCGCTACCTGACGGAGCAGCGGCGCCAGAGCCTGGCCCAGGAGCTCGGCCTCAACGAGTCCCAGATCAAGATCTGGTTCCAGAACAAGCGCGCCAAGATCAAGAAGGCCACGGGCAGCAAGAACTCGCTCGCCGTGCACCTCATGGCCCAGGGGCTCTACAACCACTCGACCACGGCGAAAGACGGCAAGTCGGACAGTGAATAGGGCTGGGGAGGGGGGTACGGGGCTGGGGAGGGGTGCAGTCAAAGTTTATACAATGCAATAATTTAATTAAAAAAAGAAGAAGAAGAAGAAGCAGAAGAAGCGAAAGAAGAGGAAGGGCCAGTGTATAAAGATTATACCAGCATTAATAGTGAAAATATTGTGTATTAGCTATAATTCTGCAATATTCTATGTATATATAATTTACAGGTAAGGTGGTGTAAAAAAATCCAAGATATCTGATTATAAAATATTTTTTCTTTGATTTTTTATTTTCCCTTTTGGTTTTGGGGGTTTGTTGTTTTATTTTGGTTTGGTTTGGTTTCTGTTTTGGTTTGGTTTGGTCGTACGGAGGTTTTAGACGCTATCTTTATGCCTTTATGATTTTTTTAATGCTTAAGTTACATTTTTATAGACTTAAGCGCTGTTTTAATGGACATCGGACACTGTTTTTTGAAATTCAAAAAAAAATTAAAAACAACTTTTGCTGAAGTCCAAAGATTTTTATTGCTGCATTTCACACGACTGTGAACCGAATAAATAGTTCTCCTATTTGTTCTATGAGTTTTACCTTTTATTCCCTTCCCTCCCTTTCCCTTTTCCTTCTCGCTCTCTTTTTTTTTTTTTCTTTTTT